CGTGTGTGTGTGTGTGTGTGTGTCTGTGAGTGTGTGCGTGTGTCTGTGTCTGTGTGTGTGTGTGTGTGTGTGTGGTGTGTGTGAGTGTGTGCGTGTGTGTGTGAGTGTCTGTGTGTGAGTGTGTGCGTGCGTGCGTGCGTCTGTGCGTTCTCCCAGACAGTGCTGAGGCTGGCCTTGTGCAGCAAAGCCTTCATCAGGTGTTTAGGAGGAAGAACGGACACTACAGACAGTACAGACACAACAGACACTACAAACGCAACATACACTACAGACACCACAGACACTAACGTTATGATCCCATCAATAAGGGATCATAACTTTCACCTGAAAAAGCAGGTGTTCCTAATGTTTTGTACACTCAGTGTAATTGTAAGGGACACTTCATGTTTATGGATAATATTTACATTTGCAGAGTGAGTGAGCTGATCAGATTCAGTCTGGTTCAGGCCAGAGCAGGTCTACTACCTTACAGGGGGTGGGGACAGGCCTGGAGTAGTAGGAACTTTTAATATGATCGGTAACGGTAAGTGGCTGAGCTTCAAAACAAGGAAATGTTCCTTCCAGTTAAAAAAAAATATTGATTGAAAACTGAGAGGGAGGGTTAGAAACGTTAATGTTGATTCATGGCCGATTCTCTGACATGACAATATTCGACTTACAGTTACTACCACTCAATAAAATAATGTGTACCTGAGTAAAACCCGTTGTGAAAACACGTGAGCATCAATCAATCAAACAGAGTTTTATAGAATACTGAGAAGATGAGCTGCAACCTTACTCACTTTGCACTGACGACAGAGGAACAGAGAAAAGAGAGTGTGTGTGTGTGGTGTGTGTGTGAGAAAGTGTGTGTGTGACAGGGAGTGTGTGTGTGTGAGAAAGTGTGTGTGTGACAGGGAGTGTGTGTGTGTGTGAGAGAGGTTCTATTCTATTATGTGAGCTGTTGATAGGAGGCATTATAAAAGCTCAGAGGCAGCCAGGCTGTAGCAGCATTAAACTGACCCATGAACAACACTCTAAAGTTCAGCTAGAACTCGTCCCTCTCCCCCTCAGGGCGGCGGCTAGAACTCGTCCCTCTCCCCTCAGGGCGGCGGCTAGAACTCGTCCCTCTCCCCCTCAGGGCGGCGGCTAGAACTCGTCCCTCTCCCCCTCAGGGCGGCGGCTAGAACTCGTCCCTCTCCCCCTCAGGGCGGTGGCTAGAACTCGTCCCTCTCCCCCTCAGGGCGGCGGCTAGAACTCGTCCCTCTCCCCTCAGGGCGGCGGCTTAGTAACTCGTCCCTCTCCCCCTCAGGGCGGCGGCTAGAACTCGTCCCCTCTCCCCCTCAGGGCGGCGGCTAGAACTCGTCCCTCTCCCCCTCAGGGCGGGGGGCGGAACGGGAGAAAACAGAGCCTTTTAACTCCGTGGGCAATCCCAAATCCTCACTGCACCCACCGTACTGTCGCTCCAGCCAATAAATATATTTAAAAGATTGGGTGTTGAAAAGCCACAGCATTGAGGAGGAAGGGGAAGAGAGGGATGATGTTCTATCATGCTTAACAACTTGTTCTTGTAGTCCAACTGTTAAAAGATCAATCCAATTAACAGAGAGTCTCCACCACAAACCTCTGGAGCCGCAGGAGATGGTGTTGAACGAACACTGGACCGGAAACAGAGGTCAAACACACACAGCAGGCTGAGGCCAGGCAGTTATTTATTAAAATAAGACACTTTTATATTAAAAAAAAAAAAATCTGTCAGAACACTAAGTTCTCATCACTTTATTTTGAGCCCATTCCTATGGCAACTGTAGAATCTGTCTGCAGACTGGAAATCAGGGGAGTGAAGGAAGGGCCTAGTGGGGGAGGGAGGGGCCTAGTGGGGAGGAAGGGACCTAGTGGGGGAGGGAGGGGCCTAGTGGGGAGGAAGGGACCTAGTGGGGGAGGGAGGGGCCTAGTGGGGAGGAAGGGACCTAGTGGGGGAGGGAGGGACCTAGTGGGGGAGGGAGGGAACCTAGTGGGGAGGGAGGGACCTAGTGGGGGGGAGGGACATGGGGAGGGAGGGGGGACCTAGGGGAGGAGGAGGGACCTAGTGGAGGGAAGGGAGGGACCTAGTGGGGGAGGTGAGGGACCTAGTGGGGGGAGGGGGACTAGTGGGGAGTGAGGAGGGACCTAGTGGGGGAGGGAGGAAGGGACCTCGTGGGGGAGGGAGGAAGGGACCTAGTGGGGGAGAGGGGCTTGGGGGGAGAGAGTGACCTAGTGGGGGAGGGAGGAAGGGACCTAGTGGGGGAGGGAGGAAGGGACCTGTGGGGGAGGAGGAAGGACCTATGGGGAGAGGGCTGCGGGGGAGAAGTGACCTAGTGGGGGAGGGAGAAGGACCTAGTGGGGAGGGAGGGACCTAGCGGGGAGGGAAGTGACCTAGTGGTGCAGGAGATCGGACCTATGAGGAGACCTAGCGGGAGGATGTGCTATGAGGGACCGTTAAGGGACTAGGATGGGAGACTATTGGTTAGAGAGAACTGTGGCTGTAGGGACTATGGGAGAGGAAGGGAGGGCAAAGGACTAGTGGTCCCAAGTTCTGTTACCACAACACCAGCAGTATTGCAATTCAGGGCACCCTTTTAGTGATACATGTGATTACGTGTTATAAAATTGTGTCTTTTCAGGTACTCCACAACCATGGAAGAGATGTGCTAAAAAGGCAAACTATTACGCTTTAAATAAAAGGGACTAGAACACTTTACACAATCAAACTTCATCTGAACTTTTAAAAGCCATTCATGCATCTGTGCGCGTCATGACAATATGATCTCAGTTGGATGCCGCCGTGATGACGTCAAGTGCACTATAGTCAGGCTCCTTCATTTTGAAAATACCTCTTTTGGGTCTCATGGCACCATTACATACCTACTCTTCCGAGAATTAAAAATACCCCCAGGAGATCCCAGAATACTACAGCCCCATAGCCATCTGCTGCAGCTAGGGCAGGGTAGCAAGCCTGAACAAGTCAGCCAGCCCCCAGAATAGTCTCCTGTCACAGTGACAACACTGTGTCAGAGCCTAAGAATGACCTAATCAGTGTTTCCCCTACCACATTTTTATTTGGGCAGCCACCCAACCAAGCAAGGTCACCTCTCCCCCGCCTTAAAGTATTTGAATATGATTGGTTTCAATTGGATATGTAGGTGTAGTCAGCTCTGACTTTTTCTTCAAGGTTCTTTGTGATCGGTTTCCTGTCTATAAAACTAGGGGGAACACTGTGATCAAATATTGAGGTTCAAGGAGGCCTGTGTTCCTAACGGAACATTATTCTATCTGAAATTGGAGAGTGGTCCGAATTCTCCACCTTGCTCTCTGAAGAGGGCACATGGTCACTACCACCGCGACCGGGAGACCCCATGGGGCGGCGCACAATTGGCCCAGCGTCGTCCAGGGTAGGGGAGGGAATGGCCGGCAGGGATGTAGCTCAGTTGGGTAGAGCATGGTGTTTGCAACGCCAGGGTTGTGGGTTCGATTCCCATGTGGGGCCAGTATAAAAAAAATAATAATAATGATAATGTATGCACTCACTTAACTGTACGTCGCTCTGGATAAGAGCGTCTGCTAAATGACTAAAATGTAAGGATTCAAAAGCATGGTATTGGTGTAGGTGTGGGCTAAATATGGTTCCCAGTTCCCACCATATCTCTTTCTTTCACCGCTTCTTTTTAAATCCATACGGTGGAGGGGATAGACTACACGCCGTCTTCAAGGAGAAGGGTAAAGAATTGGATGGCAGCCCGGCTCTCTCTTCCCAGGTCAAGAGGTTGTTAGTAGCTGCTGCTGTGCAGAGGTGGAGACTGCCACCTACTGGACTGGCCACAGCTGTAGTTTCCCTTTTCTAAACAGGGAGCTAACCAAGCTATTGTCCATTCAATTCAGCTCTTTACAATGAGGCAAAGTGATCAGACATTCTAACAGGAAAGGTTCTACATACATAGAAGTTCTCAAATCTCTCCAGTTAAAAACATTTAATCACACAGTTTAACACAGACCGCAGTGATAGACGAAGGGGGACGGCTTGGGAAGTAACCCTCTCAGGAAAGGAAGGGATGGTCAATCATATTCACCATCAGGTCACCATAATGAATCGAGCATCACCGTCTCTCACCACTACTGTCAACTATTCATGCACGTCGACACTGACAAAAACAATGGACAGATTCACACTAATTTACCAACACACACTCATTGAAAATTAACAATGAAAAGGGACTGATGCAAGGGATTATTTTTTTTTAGGACCAATGACCTTTTTCAAATGGTTAATTAAATCAGATTTTTTAGGACCAATGACCTTTATCAAACGGTTAATTAATCAGATTTTTTAGGACCAATGACCTTTATCAAATGGTTAATTAATCAGATTTTTTAGGACCAATGACCTTTATCAAACGGTTAATTAATCAGATTTTTTAGGACCAATGACCTTTATCAAACGGTTAATTACTCAGATCTTTTAGGCCCAAAGAATAATATTTTAGTTACTTATATAGGACAGAATGCCTTGAATCTCCATCTATTCCAAACTAACAGATGAACAATGAGATTACTGATATTGTTTGCAGTCAATCAATGGTAACTTAGTCTGTACGGTACAGACTGGGCCGTGCTACTGTGTACTGCTGCCGTACAGACATCCCTGGATTGAGATTAAGACCCCTCTCACTGTCCCTCACACTTAAATAAATATCTATAGATCTAAATCGCTAGCTATTTCTGTGTGCATATCATGTACACATAAGGAGCAGGAGGAAGTTACCCCTAGACAGTGATCTAAGGTAAATTGTGCATTTCTTCTTCCATCTAATAGGATTGGGAAAGCTGTGGAAGGATGATCCTAGATCTGTGCTTACTGCGTCACTTCTAACACGGCGGAGGTCTGCATACACCCAGGCCTATATGTGAATATGTACAAGCAGTGCAGCAGTTCTTTCTTCTATGTTCTAGGTATGTCCAGCTGGTGGGAATCATCATCATCATCATCTGAGCTTGGGGAAGATCCTGATGAAGAGGATCATACTGATGAAGGTGAAGGAGACTAGGATGAGCATCAGCCACAGGGACCAGTTAACGGACTTCTTGGTGTGCTGCTCCAAACGCTCCGACTCAACCTTCAGCTTCTCGAAGTTGGTGTCTGCCTGCCGCATAGACTGGGTCAGGGTCTGAGTGAGAGAGAGAGAAGAGAGTTACAGATGAGATAACTACAGTGAGGGGAAAAAAGTATTTGATCCCCTGCTGATTTTGTACGTTTGCCCACTGACAAAGACATGATCAGAGATTAGGAGCACACTCTTAAAGGGAGTGCTCCTAATCTCAGCTTGTTACCAGTATAAAAGACACCTGTCCACAGAAGCAATCAATCAATCAGATTCCAAACTCTCCACCATGGCCAAGACCAAAGAGCTCTCCAAGGATGTCAGGGACAAGATTGTAGACCTACACAAGGCTGGAATGGGCTACAAGACCATCGCCAAGCAGCTTGGTGAGAAGGTGACAACAGTTGGTGCGATTATTCACAAATGGAAGAAACACAAAATAACTGTCAATCTCCCTCGGCCTGGGGCTCCATGCAGGATCTCACCTCGTGGAGTTGCAATGATCATGAGAACGGTGAGGAATCAGCCCAGAACTACACGGGAGGATCTTGTCAATGATCTCAAGGCAGCTGGGACCATAGTCACCAAGAAAACAATTGGTAACACACTACGCCGTGAAGGACTGAAATCCTGCAGCGCCCGCAAGGTCCCCCTGCTCAAGAAAGCACATTTACAGCCCCGTCTGAAGTTTGCCAATGAACATCTGAATGATTCAGAGGAGAACTGGGTGAAAGTGTTGTGGTCAGATGAGACCAAAATCGAGCTCTTTGGCATCAACACAACTCGCCGTGTTTGGAGGAGGAGGAATGCTGCCTATGACCCCAAGAACACCATCCCCACCGTCAAACATGGAGGTGGAAACATTATGCTTTGGGGGGTGTTTTTCTGCTAAGGGGACAGGACAACTTCACCGCATCAAAGGGACGATGGACGGGGCCATGTACCGTCAAATCTTGGGTGAGAACCTCCTTCCCTCAGCCAGGGCATTGAAAATGGGTCGTGGATGGGTATTCCAGCATGACAATGACCCAAAACACACGGCCAAGGCAACAAAGGAGTGGCTCAAGAAGAAGCACATTAAGGTCCTGGAGTGGCCTAGCTAGTCTCCAGACCTTAATCCCATAGAAAATCTGTGGAGGGAGCTGAAGGTTCGAGTTGCCAAACGTCAGGCTCGAAACCTCGAGATCTGCAAAGAGGAGTGGAACAAAATCCCTCCTGAGATGTGTGCAAACCTGGTGGCCAACTACAAGAAACGTCTGACCTCTGTGATTGCCAACAAGGGTTTTGCCACCAAGTACTAAGTCATGTTTTGCAGAGGGGTCAAATACTTATTTCCCTCATTAAAATGCAAATCAATTCATAACATTTTTGACATGCGTTTTTCTGGATTTTGTTGTTGTTATACTGTCTCTCACTGTTCAAATAAACCTACCATTAAAATGATAGACTGATCATTTCTTTGTCAGTGGGCAAACGTACAAAATCAGCAGGTGATCAAATACTTTTTTCCCCTCACTGTATCAGATCAGAACCTTAGCTGTGGCTGTCTCATAGACCGGATTTGGGTCTGAGAGAGAGACAGGATACTATGAATATTTCTGCTGTGGCTGATGCATAGCCTGGGTCAGGGTCAACATAGACAAGACAACAACACTTCTTCTGTTAAACCTTAAGGGCTGTCGCCAACACTTGCATTTTAAAGCACTTTTCAAAAAGAGACTTTACTGCCCATATTTTTGTCCAAAAATGGATTGACCCTGGAAATGAACCCTCCCTCCATCTAGACTAGGGGAATTCCAGGCCTCATAGCAGCAGCTGTTAAATCACATGTCCATATGTTGTTCAAGCGCTTTAGTTCTGGAATGTTACTTATGTAATACCGCCACCTTCTGGATGGACACCAAAACACTTTTCTGTCACCCAGAATATAAGATTCTGCTGAATTCCAAGGATCACATAAATATAAGTAATATGGAAATAGCTCCAACTTTGTAGTCTGATAAGCTTGGTGAAATTCTCACCATATTGGATACACCTGTCCAATCCTTTGAGCTCTACAGGAGTGCATAGAGGTTAAAGAGTTAGCCACTAGGGCGAGGCATTGCCTTCCTTCCATCAAAGACGGCATCATTCTACTAACTCGACAAGCGCAGAGGGACTCTTGGTGCCGTCTGACCTGAGAACGAGGCTAGGGGTGGAATGGTAATTCAGCAGAGCTAGTCTTCTCCACACCTGATTGTCCTGTTTGATAATGTTCTGGGCCACCAGCGTGTTGTTCTTCAGGTTGCGGGCCAGGTTCAGCATGTCTTCAGCCAGCTTCTCCTGTAGGTTGTGGTGGTGCTGGAGCACTGCATCCAACTCGGCTGCTGACTGCCTTTCATCCAGCGCCAAACCCCTGCGGAACGGGACGGATTGGTTTCATTGATTGATTTGATTGTGGGTATAAAAAACAGACAAATGTGAAATCATACATTTGGTAAGTCCGGTTTCACATTTGAGAGCAGAGAGAGAGGAAATTGGGTTTTAATGTTACCTTCTGTTTCGCAAGTCTGTTTCCGAGTTTCCTGTTTAATTACAGATAACATAATTAAGAACTATTCCACTTTAAAATGATGCTCATATTGTACATTTGAATATATCCCAAAATTAAAGTGTTTACCTTTGTTCGACAGACCCTATAAAGAAACAGAAATGCAAGAAAACAATTAGCAGAAATAGCACTTCATAAAGATGACAAATCATGTCTATCAAACAAACTGTAAAATTCTCCAAAGTAAAAAACCCAGACTATTGAGACCCATCCAACAGTGATAGACAGTATGAGGTTGTGAGATGATCTTACAGTGCCTAACAGCTCGTTCCTCATCTCCCCTGTGCACCGGGCTTTGGTCTGCATGTGGACTGTCTTACTGGCTGGCATCCTCTCATTGGCTATGGTGGGGGTGCGACCAGGAGCTAGGAATTGATTGGCCAGGGCTTTCTCTGTCCCCGACTATATACAACAACATAGGATAGGCAGCGTATAATTAGTTCAAGTGAAGAAAACATCAAACACACTTTGGTGAGAAGAAAACACATGTATAATGTAATGTTAATGGATTCAAACAGAATTTAATCCGTTGTTTTAGCTACGGATCAGAATGAAATCCTTGAGCGTATTATACTAACCAGTTTCTCTGCTTCTAGAAGTCCTTTCAAGAAGTCAACCTTTCGTGTGTAGTCTGTCATCACCTCTACTGTGGGTTTGCTGAAGGGAGATATGGAAAATAAAGAATGAATATTTAAAACAACGATTGCCATGGAGGACATAAATTAGGCTAATACAATGCATTCGGAAAGTATTCAGACCTTGACTTTTTCCACATTTTGTTACCTAACTTATTCTAAAATTGATTCATTTGTTTTTTTTCCCCTCAATCTACACACAATACCCCATAATGACAAAGCAAAAACAGGTTGAGAAATGATGGCAAATGTATTAAAAATAAAAACAGAAATACCTTATTTACATAAGTATTCAGACCCTTTGCTATGAGACTCGAAATTGAGCTCAGGTGCATCCTGTTTCCATTGATCATCCTTGAGATGTTTACTACAACTTGATTGGAGTCCACCTGTGATAAATTATATTGATTGGACATGATTTGGCATTTGGCATTTGGAAAGGCACAAACCTGTCTATATAAGGTCCCACAGTTGACAGCGCATGTCAGAGCAAAAACCAAGAGATGAGGTCGAAGGAATTGTCCGTAGAGCTCCGAGACAGGATTGTGTCGAGGCACAGATCTGGGGAAGGGTACCTAAAATGTCTGCAGCATTGAAGGTCCCCAAGAACACAGTGGCCTCCATCATTCTTAAATGGAAGAAGTTTGCAACTACCAAGACTCTTCCTAGAGCTGGCCCCCGGCCAAACTGAGCAATCAGGGGAGAAGGGCCTTGGTCAGGGAGGTGACCAGGAACCCGATGGTCACTCTGACATAGCTCCTCTGTGGAGATGGGAGAACCTTCCAGAAGGACAACCATCTCTGCAACACTCCACTAATCAGGCCTTTATGGTAGAGTGGCCAAACGGAAGCCACTTCTCAGTAAAAGGCACATAACAGCCCGCTTGGAGTTTGCCAAAAGGCACCTAAAGGACTTTCAGACCATGAGAAACAAGACTCTCTGGTCTGATGAAACCAAGATTGAACTCTTTGGCCTGAATGCCAAGTGTCATGTCTGGAGGGAACCTGGCACCATCCCTACGGTGAAGCTTGGTGGTGGCAGCATCAGGATGTTTTCAGCGGCAGGGACTGGGAGACTAGTCAGGATCAAGGGAAAGATGAACGGCGCAAAGTACAGAGAGATCCTTGATGAAGTCCTGAGCGCTCTGGAGCAGGTTCTCAGACTGGGGTGAAAGTTAATCTTCCAACAGGACAACGACCCTAAGCACACAGCCAAGACAACCCAGGAGTGGCTTCGGGACAAGTCTCTGAATGTCCCTGAGTGGCCCAGCCAGAGCCCGGACTTGAACACGATCGAACATCTCTGGAGAGACCTGAAAATAGATGTGCAGCGACGCTCCCCATCCAACCTGACAGAGCTTGAGAGGATCTGCAGAGAAGAATGGGAGAAACTCCCCAAATACAGGTGTGCCAAGCTTGTAGCGTCATACCCAAGAAGCCTCGAGACTGTAAACGCTGCCAAAGGTGCTTCAACTAAGTACTGAATAAAGGGTCTGAATACTTATGTAAATGTTGTTTTTTATTTTTAAGAAATTTCCTAAAAATTCTAAAAACCTGTTTTTACTTTGTCATTATGGGGTATTGTGTGTAGATTGAGGAGGGGAAAAAAATATTTAATCAATTTTAGAATAAGGCTGTAACGTAACAAAATGTGGAAAAAGTAAAGGGGTCTGAATACTTTCCGAATGCACTAATTTAAATGCAGCTCCCTTCAAGTATAAACCTATCAATAATAGGATGTTTTTAAATCATAAACTGCTATAATGATAATGCAGATATTTATCTGATGGCTTGATTGAGGTTAAAGTGTCCACCTTTATATAAAATCAGAAACAATAAATACATGTGAGATTTAGTTGCGAGAGAGGAGGTTAGTATGGTAAATTCCAAGTCTGGCATTGCCTTGTTTTAACTATTTTACATTGCTCACAAAAACCTAAGGTTGTGTTGTATTGTGACAACTACAATATTGTACTGTTAGACAATAAAAGTAAACCGTTTACATTAATACGTTTAAACTTTGACACTCATTAGGTAAAATGTCTCAGCTTAGCTATACCTTGGACTCTTCCTCAAAGCCACCAACATCTCTTCAAGAGCACCAACATACTAGAAGAGAAAGAGCAAAAGTCAAGACTTGTAGTTTGGTAGAGTTATAATAGGTATGGCATTTAGAGACAAGACAATTTCCAAGTTTCATAAAAGCATGGGAACACAGTTTGAGCAGCTATGCAGAAAACAACAACTAGTAGGCATGCCTACAACTGAAATATTTTTGCAAATGATGACAAAGGCAGCCTCTTCGGGGATTGGGGGGGGGGTTGTCTGTTAGCTGTAACATTAGCTATTTAAGCTTTTCTGAGGTGGGGCGTGTTGTATGTTAGCTGTAATGTTAGCTAGTTAGGCTTTTCTGAGGGGAGGGTGTCTGTTACTATGTTACGGTTCTCTGGGGCGTGTTGCTCGTTTAGCTGACTGTAATGTTCGCTAGTTATGCTTTGCTGAGGGGAGGGTGTCTGTTAGCTAGTTAGCTTTTCTGAGAGGGGGGTTCTCTGTTAGCTGTATGTTAGCTAGTTATGCTTTTCTGAGAGGGGGGGTTGTCAGCTGTAACGTTAGCTAATTATGCTTTTCTGAGGGGGGGTTGTCAGCTGTAACGTTAGTAATTATGCTTTTCTGAGGGGGGTGTCTGTTAGCTAGTTATGTTTTCTGAGGGGGGGTTCTCTGTTAGCTGTAATGTTAGCTAGTTATGCTTTTCTGAGGGGGGGGTTGTCAGCTGTAACGTTAGCTAATTATGCTTTTCTGAGGGGAGGGTGTCTGTTAGCTAGTTATGCTTTTCTGAGAGGGGGGTTCTCTGTTAGCTGTAATGTTAGCTAGTTATGCTTTTCTGAGAGGGGGGGTTGTCAGCTGTAACGTTAGCTAATTATGCTTTTCTGAGGGGGGGGTTGTCAGCTGTAACGTTAGCTAATTATGCTTTTCGGGGGGGGGGGTGTTGTCTGTTAGCTGTAATGTTAGCTAATTATGCTTTTCTGAGGGGGGGTGTGTTGGCTGTTAGCTGTAACGTTAGTTTGGCTTTTCTGGGGGGGGGGTCTGTTAACTAACGTTAGCTAGTTGCCATCAAAACAGATATGACTGATTGAAAAGGCCTGAATGTCATCTTCCAGCGAACACAATCAGATACTCCCCTGTGAAAATAAATAATGTAGCTAATAACTAGTAAGCTACATAACCTTTTCAAATTAGCTAACGTTAGCTAGCCAACAAAACCTAGTTGTGATAAGATGATCATGGCTAACTACATACATCTTTCGCAAGATTCATTGACATGTATTTAGATTCGAGCTAATCTTATAATATACCTGGTATAAAATAGTAATCATGTGTGCTTGCATTAGCTAATACAGTTAGCTAACTACTACTATTAGTTATTGATTTGCTAGAAAATACAATACAGTCAGTAACTGGGTGTCATTGCAGTATAGTTAGCCAACTTGCTCGTTCCTAGTTGCTGACGACGTGGCTATCTAGTATGCTACCCCATTGACAAGCTAACGTAACGCTACTAGCGTCGCTAGCTGACGTTAGCAGACACTGTCAACATCATTTGACAGGACATTCATTTCTCATTGACTGCGTTTAAGGAAAGTTGCATTGGTCAACGACTACACCGTCTACATGTTTTACCTTTTCCAACCTCCATTCCGTTTCCACTCGCTTCTCCGAAGCTATAGATTCGCAGCGGGACAATAATCGGATAAAATTTATTTCTAACCTAGACGAAGCCATGTTTGAATATGACAGGGTGTCGCAAGGATTTTTGCGGAAGTAGTACGGTTTCCACTAGTTACCACAGCTATATCGTTAACGTTCATTAAAGCAAAAAAATTGCTTTTTTATCTTAATTTAAGTTTACGGTTAGACATAAAGTTATCAGAGTGGTTTGTGTTTAACATATTTTAAGAAGATTCATAATTTTTCTTCTTCTTGTGTGGATTTTTTTTATGGCGATTTACGAGGAGAAATTGTGGAAGTGGGCGGGGTTTATGACTTTGTGTCTGTGGTAACTAGTGACGACCAAACAAAACCCCAGAATAAACGTTCCACATTTACCACATTTAAAATCCAGAATATTTTCTGAAAAATTCAATCAAATATATTTACAATTACAATTTATCAATCAAAATGTATTAACAACATTGAAATATATATAACAATTGGCCTGTTTTACAACAGAAACAAGGTATATAGGAAGGTATAAATGACTAAAATGTAAATGTAAGGCCTAAATAAAACAGAAAAATCACAAAAATCCTGGCTCTCAGAGGTTTATTATGAGCATATGATATTAATCAGACAGCATACAATGTTTCTGTTTGACTGTTCTTCTTTGCATTTTTCCAGTAAATTATTCTTTGTAGGATACATTTTTGCTTTCATTTTAATTGCTAGGGTCTTTACAGATTTATACAGCAGGCAGTGCATGAGAAGATAAGATTCAGTATACATTACATTTGAGTTGTTATAGGGAAGTTGCAGGTAGGCAGGCTAGAGTCCTACATTGGACAAAAAAAGCTTGAGAACATAAGATGAAGCTGATGCCATGTTGGTCAGCAGCCATCAGGGTGGTTCTCAGGACCACTGGGGGGCGAATTGCGTTTCCTCTGTTTGATTAGGCGAGCCAGGAAGCCCAGGAAGCAGAGAGAGGCTAGGGATCCCACTGTGGAGCCCAGTGCTGCCATGGCCGTGGTTATGGCGCTGGAGGCCTCCACTGCTGGAGAACACAGTCAAACCATCATCACACTGATGAAGAGCTGGAAAGTCAACCAACCCCTTGTCAAGTTGGCTTTACTCAACACCATGTAGATCACTGGTCTTTCATTGAGTTTGCAAAGTCATCCATGCTGTATGAAAAAGTAGCCTAATATTTACTTTAGTAATAAGTAGAATTTATTACTATAATTGCTATGTCATTCAGACACCAATCTCATCCATTAAATATAGAACTGCCTGATCAGATTGATCGACGTATCTCACCTGGACCTTCGCCTTACTTATTTAAAATTTCTACATTTAAATTTTAGTCATTTAGCAGAAGCTCTTATCCAGAGCAACTTACAAGTAGTGAGGGCATACATTTTCGTAATTTTTCGTACTGAGCTTTTTCGTACCTTGTCATACTTTTCCTACTGAGTCATTGAACACATGCAGCATTCAAAACAGCTGGGAACTCGGAATTGGAAACCTCTTACTTCAGACTTCGGTATGTTCAAGACAACTGGGAACTCGGAAGAAACCGATTTCCGACTGGATGAATTAGTTTTGAACGGTCATCCAACTCGGAATTCAAAGTTTGGAACTCGGGCCTCTTTCTAGAGATCTGACTTTCCGACCTGAACATCACTGACGTCATGATTCGACTTCGTTTTTTTCAGAGTTCCCAGTTGTCATGAAAGCACCATCGGAAATCTGAAATCTCAGACTTCCAACTTTACTGCCTTCAAAATAACTGGGAACTCTGAAAACAAAACGAGCTCAGACTGGGAAAAATAGTCTTAAACGGTCATCCAACTCGGAAACTCAGGCATCTTTCTAGAGCTCCCTTGTCAAATTGGTTTTACTCAACACCATGTAGCTAAAATAATGATAATAATAAATTGATTTTTTAAAAACAGGTCAAAACATGATGTCAGTGATCTTCAGGTTGGAAAGTCAGAGCTCTAGAAATATGCCAGAGTTTCCGACTTGGAATTCTGAGCTTGTATTTTTCGGAGTTACCAGTTGTCTTGAACGCACTGAAGTTGGAAGTCAGATATATCTGAGTTCCCAGTTCCCAGTTGCTGTGAATGCAGCAACAGTCAAACCATCATCAAAGTTGTCGCGTTCAAAAGAACTGCGAACTGGGAACTCCGAAATCTCCGATTTCCGACTTTAGTGCCTTCAAGACAACTCCAACTTTAGTGCCTTCAAGACAACTGGAAACTCTGAAAAAAACTAGCTCTGACTGAGAAAAATAGTTTCGAACGATCATCCAACTCGGAAACTCAGGCATCTTTCTAGAGCTCCCCTTGTCAAAGTGGCTTTACTCAACAACATGTAGATCACTGGTCTTTCATTGAGTTTGCAAAGTCATGCATGCTGTATGAAAAAGTAGCCTAACATTTACTTTAGTAATAAGTAGAACGTATTACTATAATTTTTATGGCATTCAGACACCAATCTCATCCATTAAATATACTGTAGAACTGCCTGCTCAGATTGATCTACCTATCTCACCTTGACCTTCACCTTCCTTATTTACAGGTTCTGACGTTTGTGTTTCCACGGGTCCAACTGACAAAGGAATAACTGTACAGTTAACAAAGAAGAAGAATACAAATATTCTATTAGTTTTATCTTCAGTCTGAAATGTGGAGACACCCAAAAGATGAAGTTCAATTCTATTACATTGTATATAGCCTACTCACGAGACATGACAATGCTTCTGGGATCATCATCATCTTCATCGGCATCATCTGACAACAACAAATCAAAACAGTCAAACCACCATCACACTGATGAAGAGCTGGAAAGTCAATCAGCCCATTGTCAAGTTGGCTTAACTCAACACCATGTAGATCACTGGTCTTTCATTGAGTTTGCAAAGTCATTCATGCTGTATGAAAAAGTAGCCTAACATTTACTTTAGTAATGAGTAGAATGTATTACTATAATTTTTTTATGGCATTCAGACACCAATCTCATCCATTAAATATACTGTAGAACTGCCTGCTCAGATTGATCGATTTATATTTTAGTCATTTAGCAGAAGCTCTTATCCAGAGCAACTTACAAGTAGTGAGGGCATACATTTTCGTAATTTTTCGTACTGAGCTTTTTCGTACTTTCTCATACTTTTCCTACTGAGTCATTGAACTCATGCAGCATTCAAAACAGCTGGGAACTCGGAATTGGAAACCTCTGACTTCCGACTTCGGTGTGTTCAAGACAACTGGGAACTCGGAAGAAACCGATTTCCGACTGGGTAAATTAGTTTTGAACGGTCATCCAACTCGGAATTCAAAGTTTGGAACTCAGGCCTCTTTCTAGAGATCTGACACTCTGACCTGAACATCACTGACGTCATGATTCGACTTCGTTTTTTTCAGAGTTCCCAGTTGTCATGAAAGCACCATCGGAACTCTGAAATCTCAGACTTCCAACTTTACTGCCTTCAAAACGAGCTCCGACTGGGAAAAAATCGTTTTGAACGGTCATCCAAGTTGGAATTCCAAGTCGGAAAACTCAGGCATCTTTCTAGAGATCCCCTTGTTAAATTGACCTTACTCGACACAATGTAGACAAAAAAATATATAAAAAAGATTAACACAAAAAAAAGAGGTCAAATCATGAAGTCAGTGATCTTCAGGTTTTAAAGTCAGAGCTCTAGAAAGATGCCAGAGTATCCGACTTGGAATTATGAGCTCATATTTTTCTGAGTAACCAGTTGTCTTGAACACACTGAAGTTGGAAGTCAGATATATCTGAGTTCCCAGTTGCTGTGAATGCAGCAACAGTCAAACCATCATCAAAGTTTCCGCGTTCAAAAGAACTGGGAACTGGAAACTCAGAAATCTCAGATTTCCGACTTTAGTGCCTTCAAGACAACTCCGACTTTAGTGCCTTCAAGACAACTGGAAACTCTGAAAAAAACTAGCTCCGACTGAGAAAAATCGTTTCGAACGATCATCCAACTCGGAAACTCAGGCATCTTTCTAGAGCTCCCCTTGTCAAAGTGGCTTTACTCAACACCATGTAGATCACTGGTCTTTCATTGAGTTTGCAAAGTCATGCATGCTGTATGAAAAAGTAGCCTAATATTAACTTTAGTAATAAGTAGAATGTATTACTATAATTTTTATGGCATTCAGACACCAATCTCATCCATTAAATATAGAACTGCCTGCTCAGATTGATCTACCTATCTCACCTTGACCTTCACCTTCCTTATTTACAGGTTCTGACGTTTGTGTTTCCACGGGTCCAACTGACAAAGTAGTAACTGTACAGTTAACAAAGAAGAAGAATACAAATATTCTATTAGTTTTATCTTCAGTCTGAAATGTGGAGACACCCAAAAGATGAAGTTCAATTCTATTACATTGTATATAGCCTACTCACGAGACATGACAGTGCTTCTGGGATCATCATCGTCTCCATCGGCATCATCTGACAACAACAAATCAACACAGTCAAACCACCATCACACTGATGAAGAGCTGGAAAGTCAATCAGCCCATTGTCAAGTTGGCTTTACTCAACACCATGTAGATCACTGGTCTTTCATTGAGTTTGCAAAGTCATCCATGCTGTATGAAAAAGTAGCCTAACATTTACTTTAGTAATAAGTAGAATGTATTACTATAATTTTTTTATGGCATTCAGACACCAATCTCATCCATTAAATATACTGTAGAACTGCCTGCTCAGATTGATCGATTTATATTTTAGTAATTTAGCAGAAGCTCTTATCCAGAGCAACTTACAAGTAGTGAGGGCATACATTTTCGTAATTTTTCGTACTGAGCTTTTTCGTACTTTCTCATACTTTTCCTACTGAGTCATTGAACTCATGCAGCATTCAAAACAGTTGGGAACTCGGAATTGGAAACCTCTGACTTCCGACTTCGGTGTGTTCAAGACAACTGGGAACTCGGAAGAAACCGATTTCCGACTGGGTAAATTAGTTTTGAACGGTCATCCAACTCGGAATTCAAAGTTTGGAACTCAGGCCTCTTTCTAGAGATCTGACACTCTGACCTGAACATCACTGACGTCATGATTCGACTTCGTTTTTTTCAGAGTTCCCAGTTGTCATGAAAGCACCATCGGAACTCTGAAATCTCAGACTTCCAACTTTACTGCCTTCAAAACGAGCTCCGACTGGGAAAAATCGTTTTGAACGGTCATCCAAGTTGGAATTCCAAGTCGGAAAACTCAGGCATCTTTCTAGAGATCCCCTTGTTAAATTGACCTTACTCGACACAATGTAGACAAAAAAATATATAAAAAAGATTAACACAAAAAAAAGAGGTCAAATCATGAACTCAGTGATCTTCAGGTTTTAAAGTCAGAGCTCTAGAAAGATGCCAGAGTATCCGACTTGGAATTATGAGCGCATATTTTTCTGAGTAACCAGTTGTCTTGAACACACTGAAGTTGGAAGTCAGATATATCTGAGTTCCCAGTTGCTGTGAATGCAGCAACAGTCAAACCATCATCAAAGTTTCCGCGTTCAAAAGAACTGGGAACTGGAAACTCAGAAATCTCAGATTTCCGACTTTAGTGCCTTCAAGACAACTCTGACTTTAGTGCCTTCAAGACAACTGGAAACTCTGAAAAAAACTAGCTCCGACTGAGAAAAATCGTTTCGAACGATCATCCAACTCGGAAACTCAGGCATCTTTCTAGAGCTCCCCTTGTCAAAGTGGCTTTACTCAACACCATGTAGATCACTGGTCTTTCATTGAGTTTGCAAAGTCATTCATGCTGTATGAAAAAGTAGCCTAATATTTACTTTAGTAATAAGTAGAATGTATTACTATAATTTTTATGGCATTCAGACACCAATCTCATCCATTAAATATAGAACTGCCTGCTCAGATTGATCTACCTATCTCACCTTGACCTTCACCTTCCTTATTTACAGGTTCTGTCGTTTGTGTTTCCACGGGTCCAACTGACAAAGTAGTAACTGTACAGTTAACAAAGAAGAAGAATACAAATATTCTATTAGTTTTATCTTCAGTCTGAAATGTGGAGACACCCAAAAGATGAAGTTCAATTCTATTACATTGTATATAGCCTACTCACGAGACATGACAGTGCTTCTGGGATCATCATCGTCTCCATCGGCATCATCTGACAACAACAAATCAACACAGTCAAACCACCATCACACTGATGAAGAGCTGGAAAGTCAACCAACCCATTGTCAAGTTGGCTTTACTCAACACCATGTAGATCACTGGTCTTTCATTGAGTTTGCAAAGTCATGCATGCTATATGAAAAAGTAATCTAATGTTTACTTTAGTGAAAAGTAGAATGTATTACTATAATTTTTTTATGGCATTCAGACACAATTCTCATCCATTAAAGTCGGAAATCTCTGGCATCTTTCTAGAGCTCCCCTTGTTAAATTGGCCCAATGTAGATAAAAAATTAAAAAGAACACAAAAAAACAGGTCAAATCATGACGTCAGTGATCTTCAGGTCGGAAAGTCGGAGCTCTAGAAAGATGCCAGAGTTTCCGACTTGAAATTGTGATCTCATATTTTTCTGAGTTACCAGTTGCCTTGAACACACTGAAGTTGGATGTCAGATATATTTGAGTTCCCAGTTCCCAGTTGCTTTGAATGCAGCAACAGTCAAACCATCATCAAATTTCATCATTTACATTTTAGTCATTTAGCTCTTATCCAGAGCAACTTACACTAGAGAGGGCATACATTTTCGTACTTTTTTCATACTGAGCAGGCAGTTCTATATTTAATGGATGAGATTGAGGTCTGAATGTCATTTTTAAAAAAATTACAGTAATACATTCAACTTATCTCTAAAGTGAATATCAAATCAAATCGTATTTGTCACTTGCGCCGAATATATCAGGTGTGGACCTTGCAGTGAAATGAAATTTAGCCTGTATTCTAGATAAATCCTTCTTTACTGAAGGAATAATTTTACATTGACATTTTAGTCATTTAGCAGACGCCCTTATCGCGATAGCTAGGTGAAACAACCACATCACAGTCACAGTAAGTAGTGAAGAGGGGGATTATTTAAAATCAAATTTTTATTTGTCACATGCGCCGAACACAACAGGTGTAGTAGACCTTACCGTGAAATGCTTACTTACAAGCCCTTAACCAACAATGCAGTTCAAGAAATAGAGTTAAGAAAATATTTACTAAATAAACTAAAGTAAAAAATAAAATACAAAGTTACACAATAAAATAACAACAACGAGGCTATATACAGGGGGTCCTGGGACCGAGTCAATGTGCGGGGGGTACAGGTTAGTTGAGGTAATTTGTACATGTAGGTAGGGGTAAAGTGACTATGCATAGATAATAAACAGCTATTATCAGCAATGTAAATTGCTATTATCAGCAATGTACATTTTGCAGATGTATAATCCTTTTTTAAAATACTGTATTCAGACCCCTTGCTATGAGACTCAAAATTGAGCTCACGTGCACCCTGTTTCCATTGATCATCCTTGAGATATTTCTACAACTTGAATAGAGTCCACCTGTGGTAAATTCAATTGATTGGACATGATTTGGAAAGGCACACACCTGTCAATATAAGGTCCCACAGTTGACAGTGCATGTCAGAGCAGAAACCTAGCCATGAGGTCGAAGGAACTGTCTGTAGACCGCAGAGACAGGATTGTGTCGAGGCACAGATCTGGGGAAGGGTACCAAAACATTTCTGTAACATTGAAGGTCCGCAAGAACAAAGTGGCCTCCATAATTCTTAAATGGACAAAGTTTGGAACCACCAAGACTCTTTCTAGAGCTGGCCGCCCGGCCAAACTGAGCAATCGGGGGAGAAGGGCCTTGGTCAGGGAGGTGACCAAGAACCTGATGGTCACTCTGCAGTGCTCCAGAGTTCCTCTGTGGAGATGGGAGAACCTTCCAGAAGGACAACCATCTCTGCAACACTCCACCAATCAAGCCTTTATGGTAGAGTGGCCAGACGGAAGTCACTCCTCAGTAAAAGGCACATGACAGCCCGCTTGGAGTTTACCAAAAGTCACCTAAAGACTCTCAGACCATGAGAAACAAGATTATTTAATCTGATGAAACCAAGATTGAACTATTTGGCATGAATGCCAAGCGTCACGTCTGGAGGAAACCTGGCACCATCCCTACGGTGAAGCTTGGTGGTGGCAGCATCAGGATGTTTTCAGCGGCAGGGACTGGGAGACTAGTCAGGATCAAGGGAAAGAGGAACGGAGCAAAGTACAGAGAGATCCTTGATGAAAACCTGCTCCAGAGTGCTCAGGACCTCAGACTGGGGCGAAGGTTCACCTTCCAACGACCCTAAGCACACAGCCAAGACAACCCAGGAGTGGCTTCGGGACAAGTCTCTGAATGTCCTTCAGTGGTCCAGCCAGAGCCCGGACTTGAACCCGATCGAACATCTCTGGAGAGACCTGAAAATAGCTGTGCAGCGACGCTCCCCATCCAACATGATGGAGCTTGAGAGGATCAGCAGAGAAGAATGGGAGAAACTCCCCAAATAGAGGTGTGCCAAGCTTGTAGCGTCATTCCCAAGAAGACTCAAGGCTGTAATCGCTGCCAAAGGTGCTTCAACAAAGTACTGAGTAAAAGTTCTGAATATAAATGTAAATATAAATGTAAATGTCATATTTCAGTTTATTTTTTATTTTTATAAATTTGCAAAAATGTATAAAAACCTGTTTTTGCTTTGTCATTATGGGGTATTAAGTGTAGACTGACGTGAGAAAAAAACAATTGAATCCATTTTAGAATAAGGCTGTAACGTAACAAAATGTGGAAAATGTCAAGGGGTCTGAATACTTTCCGAATGCACTGTTGGTCCTGGATGGTAGCAAGCTTGGTCCCAGTGATATACTGGGCCGTATGCACTACTCGCTGCAGCACCTTACGGTCGGATGCCGAGCAGTTGCCATACCAGGCGGTGATGCAACCGGTCAGGATGCTCTTGATGGTGCAGCTGTAGAACTTTTTGAGAATCTGGGGACCCATGCCAAATCTTTTCAGTCTCCTGAGGGGGAAAAGGTGTTGTCGTGCCCTCTTCACGCCTGTCTTGATGTTTTTGGACCATGATAGTTTGTTGGTGATGTGGACACCAAGGAACTTGAAACTCTCGACCTGCTCCACTTCAGCCCCGTCGATGTTAATGGGGGTCTGTTCTGCCCTCCTTTTCCTGTAGTCCACGATCAGCTCCTTTGTCTTGCTCATATGGAGGGAGAGGCTGTTGTCCGGGCACCACACTGCCAGGTCTCTGACCTCCTCCCTATAGGCTGTCTCATCATTGTCGGTGATCAGGCCTAACACTTAATGATGGTGTTGGAGTCGTGTTTGGCCACCTGGTCATGGGTGAACAGGGAGTACAGGAGGGGACTAAGCACGCACCCCTGAGGGGCCCCAGTGTTGCGGATCACCGGCTCTGACGCTCGTCTGGTAGGCTTGTGTCACTGGGCAGCTCGCGGCTTGGTTTCCCTTTGTAGTCCGTAATAGTTTGCAAGCCTTGCCACATCCGACGAGCGTCAGAGCCGGTGTAGTAGGATTCAATCTTAGTCCTGTATTGACGCTTTGAGGGATTTCTTATAAGCGTCCGGATTAGTGTCCCGCTCCTTGAAAGCGGCAGCACTAGCCTTTAGCTCGGAGCGGATGTTGCCTGTAATCCAGGGCTTCTGGTTGGGGTATGTACGTACGGTCACTGTGGAGACAAAGTCGTCAATGCACTTATTGATGAAGCCTTTGACTGAGGTGGTATACTCCTGAATGCCATTGAATAAATCCCAGAATGTATGCCAGTCTGTGCTAGCAAAATAGTCCTGTAGCATAGCATCTGCGTCATCTGACCACTTCCGTATTGAGTGAGTCACTGGTACTTCCTGTTTTATTTCCTCTTGTTGCACGTGACATGCTGATAGAAATTAGGTCAAATGAATTTCAGTTTACCTGCATTAAAGTCCCCGGCCACTAGGAGCGCCGCTTCTGGATGAGCATTTTCTTGTTTGCTTATGGCCTTATACAGCTCGTTGAGTGCGGTCTTAGTGTCAGCATCGGTTTGTGGTGTTAAATAGACGGCTACGAATAATATAGATGAGAACTCTCTTGGTAGATAGTGGGTCTACAGCTTATCATGAGGTACTCTACATCAAGGCAAGCAATACCTCGAGACTTCTTTAATATTAGACATTGCGCACCAGCTGTTATTGACAAATAGACACACACCCCCACCCCTCGTCATACCAGACGCAGCTGCTCTGTCCTGCCGATGCACGGAAAACCCAGCCAGCTCTATATTATATGTGTTGTCGTTCAGCCACGACTCAGTGAAACGTAAGTTATTACAGTTTTAATGTCCCGTTGGTAGGATAGTCTTGATCGTCGATCATCCAGTTTATTTTCCAATGATTGCACGTTGGCCAATAGGACGGATGGTAGTGGCAGTTTACCCACACGCCAACGAATTCTCACAAGGCACCCCGAACTTCGCTCCCTGTATTTCTGTATTTTCTTCACGCGAATGACAGGGATTTGGGCCTGGTCTCGGGAAAGCAGTATATGCTTAGCGTCGAACTCATTCAAGAAAAAACCGTTGTCCAGTATGAGGTGAGTAATCGCTGTTCTGATGTCCAGAAGCTATTTTCGGTCATAAGAGACGGTAGCAGCAACATTATGTACAAAATAAGTTACAAACAATGCGAAAAAAACACACAAAATAGCACAGTTGGTTAGGAGCCCGTAAAACGGCAGCCATCCCCTCCGGCACCATTATTAAATATTAGGCTACTTATTCATACAGCATGCATGACTTTGAAAACTCAATGAAAGACCAGTGATCTACATGGTGTTGAGTAAAGCCAACTTGACAATGGGTTGGTTGAGTTTCCATCTCTATATCAGTTAGTGCTTTCAAGACAACTGGGAAATCAAAAAAACTACACGAGGTCAAATCATGACGCCAGTGAACTTCAGGTCGGAAAGTCGGAGATCTAGAAAGCTGCCCGAGTTTCCGACTTGGAATTCCGAGTTGGATGACCGTTCCGAGTTCCGAGATCCCAGTTGCTTTGAACGCAGTAACAGTCTAACCATTATCAATGTTGCCGCGTTCAAACCAACTGGGAACTCGGAACACCAAAATCTCAGACTTCAATCTTCAGTGCGGTCAAGACAACTGGGAACTAAAAAATCTAAAACTAAAACTCAGACTGGGAAACATTGTTTTGAACGTTCATCCAACTCGGAAATTCTGGCATCTTTTTAGAGCTCCCCTTGTCAAATTGGCTTTCCTTAACACCATGTAGATAAATAATTATAATGATAATAAAATAAATCAAATAAAAGGTCAAATCATGAGGTCAGTGACCTTCAGGTCGGAAAGTCGGAGCTCTAGAAAGATGGCAGAGTTTCCGACTTGGAATTCCGAGCTTGTCTTGAACTCATTGAAGTCGGCAGTCGGAGATATCTGAGTTCCCAGTTCTCAGTTGCTTTGAACGCAGCAACAGTCAAACCATCATCAAAGTTGCTGCGTTCAAAAGAACTGGGAACTGCGAAATCTCTGACTTCAGACTTTAGTGCGTTCAAGACAACTGGGAACTGGGGGGAAAAAACGATCTCCGACTGGGAAAAATAGTCTTGAACAGTCATCCAAATCGGAATTCCAAGTCGGAAAAATCTGGCATCTTTCTAGAGCTCCCCTTGTTAAATTATTTACAGGTTCTGACATTTGTGCTTCCATAAGTTCAACTGACAAAGGAATGAAAAGAATAACAAAAATAGATTCTACAACAAATATGCTCAAAGGTCAACCAGTTTAAAAAACATATACACTAAAATAATAATGATAATGACTCAAGGACAGAGTCACTCAGAGACCCTAGGCTAGGGGTCTCCTGGTCCTGGAGTGCCGCAGGCAGTTACTTCATGGTCTGGATTTAACCAACCTGGAAGACCATATCTGTTGAATTTAGGCAATTACTGAACTGATCTATTAAATCAGTTGGTAAGGTGTGGTGCCTAGTTGGAACAAAATCCTGCAGTACCTTGCAGCACTACTAACATAGAACCTACTAACATAGAGCCTACTAACATAGAACCTACTATTATAGAACCTACTAACATAGAACCTACTAACATAGAGCCTACTAACATAGAACCTACTAACATAGAGCCTACTAACATAGAACCTACTAACATAGAGCCTACTAACATAGAGCCTACTAACATATAACCTACTAACATAGAACCTACTAACATAGAGCCTACTAACATAGAACCTACTAACATAGAACCTACTATCATATAACCTACTAACATAGAGCCTACTAACATATAACCTACTAACATAGAGCCTACTAACATAGAACCTACTAACATAGAACCTACTAACATAGAACCTACTATCATAGAACCTACTAACATAGAGCCTACTAACATAGAACCTACTAACATAGAACCTACTATCATAGAACCTACTAACATAGAACCTACTAACATAGAGCCTACTAACATAGAACCTACTAACATAGAACCCACTAACATAGAGCCTACTAACATAGAACCTACTATCATAGAACCTACTAACATAGATCCTACTAACATAGAACCTACTAACATAGAGCCTACTAACATAGAACCTACTAACATAGAGCCTACTAACATAGAACCTACTATCATAGAGCCTACTAACATAGAGCCTACTAACATAGAGCCTACTAACATAGAACCTAATAACATAGAACCTACTAACATAGAACCTAATAACATAGAGCCTACTAACATAGAGCCTACTAACATAGAGCCTACTAACATAGAACCTACTATCATAGAGCCTACTAACATAGAGCCTACTAACATAGAGCCTACTAACATAGAACCTAATAACATAGAACCTACTAACATAGAGCCTACTAACATAGAACCTACTAACATAGAACCTACTAACATAGAGTCTACTAACATAGAGCCTACTGTATTAAATACACTGTATGAAATGCCCTGCTTTTTCTAAAACACATCCAAACAAAATTTAAACAACTTACCTTGGAAATGTATGGTAAGAAAAGCCTTTTCAACAAAGGTCTGAGGGCCAATAGTAAGCTTTGCTTCACACTGATAATCTGTGTTGCCTGTGCCCATCTGATCCTTAGAAGACTGCGTGTAGTCACAAAATCTGCCATCATCACAGTTTTTGGAGAGTTCTGCTTCAATCTTCTCACGGTGGAAGAGATGCATCTCAAAGTGGTCACAATCTCTGTGGAAGACTTTTGTCAGTGTGCATTTCACCTCAAAAGGTTGACCAGACACAGGGTTCTCTGGCACCGTGGACAGGACAGGCACCGGGAGAGCTAGAGAAGTAGAGACCGTGATATATATCAGTCCCAGTTAAGGAGCAGAGAAGAGAGTATCTTAGCCGATATGTAGTCACAGTTAAGGAGCAGAGAAGAGAGTATCTTAGCCGATATGTAGTCACAGTTAAGGAGCAGAGAAGAGAGTATCTTAGCCGATATGTAGTCACAGTTAAGGAGCAGAGAAGAGAGTATCTTAGCCGATATGTAGTCACATTTAAGGAGCGGAGAAGAGAATATCTTAGCTGATATGTAGTCACAGTTAAGGAGCAGAGAAGAGAGTATCTTAGCCGATATGTAGTCACAGTTAAGGAGCAGAGAAGAGAGTATCTTAGCCGATATGTAGTCACAGTTAAGGAGCAGAGAAGAGAGTATCTTAGCCGATATGTAGTCACAGTTAAGGAGCAGAGAAGAGAGTATCTTAGCCGATATGTAGTCACAGTTAAGGAGCAGAGAAGAGAGTATCTTAGCCGATATGTAGTCACAGTTAAGGAGCAGAGAAGAGAGTATCTTAGCCGATATGTAGTCACAGTTAAGGAGCAGAGAAGAGAGTATCTTAGCCGATATGTAGTCACAGTTAAGGAGCAGAGAAGAGAGTATCTTAGCCGATATGTAGTCACAGTTAAGGAGCAGAGAAGAGAGTATCTAGCCGATATGTAGTCACAGTTAAGGAGCAGAGAAGAGAGTATCTTAGCCGATATGTAGTCACAGTTAAGGAGCAGAGAAGAGAGTATCTTAGCCGATATGTAGTCACAGTTAAGGAGCAGAGAAGAGAGTATCTTAGCCGATATGTAGTCACAGTTAAGGAGCAGAGAAGAGAGTAACTTAGCCGATATGTAGTCACAGTTAAGGGGCAGAGAAGAGAGTAATTTAGCCGATATGTAATCCCAGTTAAGGGGCAGAGAAGAGAGTATCTTAGCCGATATGTAGTCACAGTTAAGAAGCAGAGAAGAGAGTAATTTAGCCGATATGTAATCCCAGTTAAGGGGCAGAGAAGAGAGTAACTTAGCCGATATGTAGTCACAGTTAAGAAGCAGAGAAGAGAGTAATTTAGCCGATATGTAATCCCAGTTAAGGGGCAGAGAAGAGAGTAACTTAGCCGATATGTAGTCACAGTTAAGAAGCAGAGAAGAGAGTAATTTAGCCGATATGTAATCCCAGTTAAGGAGCAGAGAAGAGAGTATCTTAGCCGATATGTAGTCACAGTTAAGGAGCAGAGAAGAGAGTATCTTAGCCGATATGTAGTCACAGTTAAGGAGCAGAGAAGAGAGTATCTTAGCCGATATGTAGTCACAGTTAAGGAGCAGAGAAGAGAGTATCTTAGCCGATATGTAGTCACAGTTAAGGAGCAGAGAAGAGAGTATCTTAGCCGATATGTAGTCACAGTTAAGGAGCAGAGAAGAGAGTAACTTAGCCGATATGTAGTCACAGTTAAGGAGCAGAGAAGAGAGTATCTTAGCCGATATGTAATCCCAGTTAAGGGGCAGAGAAGAGAGTATCTTTAACTAGCCGATATGTAATCCCAGTTAAGGGGCAGAGAAGCTGACTTTAAAACCCATTGACCTATGTAAATGATCCCAAGTCAGTAACTTACAGTAAACTCTGAGCTGGATTGTTTCCTTCTTCTGTGTTATACATTTTGCTGCTATGCAGGTATACTTTCCCTCGTGATTCGGCTGTACATCTGCAAGATTTAGATCACTTCTGTTTTCTGTGGTATTCACAGTGGCATCGCTCTCATCTAGTTCCTTCCAGCGTGGTCTGCCTTGGGGACAGGTTGTCTCACAGGTCAAGGTCACAGCATCTCCCAGCTTGACAATGGGTTTGGCTGGGGTCACAGTGATCTCTTTGGCACAGAGTGCAGGATCTAAACAAAAGTGGTTGACCGGCAAAAATAAATGACATGGTGCATTGGATATGGATTTGTTACAGTCTTATAGATACGATTTTTGTAAAACAAAGTTAAGTTAGTCACTTCAAACTTTTTTAAACTGTCAAGAATAAACATGACATTATTGTTTAACATGTATTTGAGAAAAAGGAGAATGGAGTTTGGGTACCTCTAAGAGCCAGCAGAAGGTAGGAGAGTAGACAGTGATAATATTGCAGGCGCTCCATAGTCCTCTTCAGTAGTCTCCTGTGACTGTGATAGTCTCCTGTGACTGTGATCGTCTCCTGTGACTGTGATCGTCTCCTGTGACTGTGATCGTCTCCTGTGACTGTGATCGTCTCCTGTGTCTGTAGTCTGCCGTCTGCAAGAGCTCCAGGGGAACTGAGGACTGAGATGAGGGGGAACTCAGGTCAGTTCATACACTATCAGCAGGCCAGGCAGATCAGCAGGCCAGGCAGTTCTTGGCTCCCCTGCAGGGGACTCTACAGCAGCTTTCCACAGACCCCTTCCTTTATCCACTGGCCTGCCAACATCCTCACACGCAAACCCAGGAACATTAACGTTGGGACATTTGATAAGTTTTGCATAGATACACCAAAACATACACACAATCAAATGACAGGGATTCACTGATTTCTTATCTAGAAATGCTAATCTTCCAGATGGCACATATTAGCATTTTTCATAATCTAAGGATAAGAATATTGAAATAATATTTAGATTTTTTCTGGCCTAATTTTAATTTATCAGGAAAAGGAGTAACACAAAATATCTGTTTGGTTTGTTTCATGGTCAGACAAAACAACTAAAACACTATTTTGAGATCTGAGGCAAATTACAAGAGTAGAAAATATGAGTCTATCATGAAATTACTTCAACAGCCTAAACAAGAGGGAAACAGACTTACTGAGAAGGAAAGTGATGGCCAGGTTTAAATAAGGGGCTGGAGAGATCCCCTCTATCAAACCTGATATACAGTGGGGGGGAAAAGTATTTAGTCAGCCGCCAATTATGCAAGTTCTCCCACTTAAAAAGATGAGAGAGGCCTGTAATTTTCATCATAGGTACACGTCAACTATGACAGACAAAAGGAGAAAAAAAATTCCTGAAAATCACATTGTAGGATTTTTAATGAATTTATTTGCAAATTATGGTGGAAAATAAGTATTTGGTCACCTACAAACAAGCAAGATTTCTGGCTCTCACAGACCTGTAACTTCTTCTTTAAGAGGCTCCTCTGTCCTCCACTCGTTACCTGTATTAATGGCACCTGTTTGAACTTGTTATCAGTATAAAAGACACCTGTCCACAACCTCAAACAGTCACACTCCAAACTCCACTATGGCCAAGACCAAAGAGCTGTCAAAAGACACCAGAAACAAAATTGTAGACCTGCACCAGGCTGGGAAGACTGAATCTGCAATAGGTAAGCAGCTTGGTTTGAAGAAATCAACTGTGGGAGCAATTATTAGGAAATGGAAGACATACAAGACCACTGATAATCTCCCTCGATCTGGGGCTCCACGCAAGATCTCACCCTGTGGGGTCAAAATGATCACAAGAACGGTGAGCAAAAATCCCAGAACCACACGGGGGGACCTAGTGAATGACCTGCAGAGAGCTGGGACCAAAGTAACAAAGCCTACCATCAGTAACACACTATGCCGCCAGGGACTCAAATCCTGCAGTGCCAGACGTGTCCCCCTGCTTAAGCCAGTACATGTCCAGGCCCGTCTGAAGTTTGCTAGAGTGCATTTGGTTGATCCAGAAGAGGATTGGGAGAATGTCATATGGTCAGATGAAACCAAAATAGAACTTTTTGGTAAAAACTCAACTCGTCGTGTTTGGAGGACAAAGAATGCTGAGTTGCATCCAAAGAACACCATACCTACTGTGAAGCATGGGGGTGGAAACATCATGCTTTGGGGCTGTTTTTCTGCAAAGGGACCAGGACGACTGATCCGTGTAAAGGAAAGAATGAATGGGGCCATGTATCGTGAGATTTTGAGTGAAAACCTCCTTCCATCAGCAAGGGCATTGAAGATGAAACATGGCTGGGTCTTTCAGCATGACAATGATCCCAAACACACCGCCCGGGCAACGAAGGAGTGGCTTCGTAAGAAGCATTTCAAGGTCCTGGAGTGGCCTAGCCAGTCTCCAGATCTCAACCCCATAGAAAATCTTTGGAGGGAGTTGAAAGTCCGTGTTGCCCAGCGACAGCCCCAAAACATCACTGCTCTAGAGGAGATCTGCATGGAGGAATGGGCCAAAATACCAGCAACAGTGTGTGAAAACCTTGTGAAGACTTACAGAAAACGTTTGACCTGTGTCATTGCCAACAAAGGGTATATAACAAAGTATTGAGAAACTTTTGTTATTGACCAAATACTTATTTTCCACCATAATTTGCAAATAAATTCATTAAAAATCCTACAATGTGATTTTCTGGATTTTTTTTCCTAATTTTGTCTGTCATAGTTGACGTGTACCTATGATGAAAATTATAGGCCTCTCTCATCATTTTAAGTGGGGGAACTTGCACAATTGGTGGCTGACTAAATACTTTTTTTCCCCCACTGTATGTACTGCAAGGAAGAGATGGGAGTTTGTCAGGGTGTGACTATTAGATAGAAAGAATCTCCTGGGTAGTTAATTAACATTATACAGAGCTCAGCAGGAAGTGTTAAACAAAGGAACATTCTAGACTACTCATTTCTGGGAAAAGCTTGTTGAATACATAAAAAATATGGACTTAGTATTACCTAATGTTCTGTTGGAGGTAGGGCTGGCATAACCTTACCCGCAGGATAACTGCTAGGGAAAGAGTCAACTGGTGGACGAGAATAGGGCTGGTATAACCTTACCCGCAGGATAACTGCTAGGGAAAGAGTCAACTGGTGGACGAGAATAGGGCTGGTATAACCTTACCCGCAGGATAACTGCTAGGGAAAGAGGCAACTGGTGGACGAGAACAGGGCTGGCATAACCTTACCCGCAGGATAACTGCTAGGGAAAGAGTCAACTGGTGGACGAGAACAGGGCTGGCATAACTGCTAGGGAAAGAGTCAACTGGTGGACGAGAATAGGGCTGTCACGGTGCGTGCTATCACTAATGTACAAGAGTCACAAAGTTAAATGAGGTTATGATAACATTACCATAGGATGTCAGTTGAGAGAAATTCCCTTTCGGGAAACTGCCTTGGAAGCCTGTCTTGTTGTTCTGTTATTCCACAAGATACAGTCGGTGTTATTCAGGGATCGTTTCCTTCCTGCCCATGTCTCTGTTCTAGAGCCCACACCCTTGACACGCAACCCTCACAGTGAGCGATTCCTACAAAAGGCCATCACTACCAGCTCATTAGTGAGGGGAACTGACCACAGATAGTATAATCAAAAGACTTCCTGCAAAACCAGTATTAATGCTCATGGAAAACTAGAGAAAAGTGCATCCTTGTGGATAAGAAGTGAATAATCGTATCATTACATAATTAACTTTGTTCCTCAAGCTAATAAAAAAATACGGTATCTCCTCAGATTCATACAGTAAATCCACAACAACTATTCAACAATTTTATTATTTTAGGAAAACCAAAACAATCAAAGGACGTACTTAGTTGGTGAACGCAATACAAAACTAAACATCTTAGTTCCAACAGAGCATAAACATTTCAGGGTGGAAAGAAAAGAGTTGGTGCAGGGACAGGTTGGTTAAATTTTCATCTTCAACACTGATTATTTTGGTACAACATATCAAATATAATCTAAATCTCACTAATTAAAAATATTCTGTAAGGCACAATCTCTGACTGGCAATACCAGTTATGTAATATACATTTTGATTAAGAATGTTTCAATCAGTTCAAATTATACTGCAAATATATTGTACTATGTATCTGTTTAAATTATGCCAACATTTATTCTGCAATAATCTAGAATAGTTTACTTCATCAAGCTACTCAAGCATTTTGAGGGGAATCGTGTAACAAACAAGCATCATAGCAGTAAGAATATGATCAATTACGGCGATCTCTCTCCTCCCCGAATTCTTGGAATATCAGTGTGGAAAGTATCATATTCAACACCTCCTTTCTGTACCTCTGGCCAACTTGTCTTCAAAAAATTTTAACTGCGATTGAAAAATAATTTCAAAATATTCCCAATATACAGTTATTTAATAACACTTTTAATTAAGCAAATACTACACTATAACACACGTGACACAAGCCTAATGCAGCATCCCAAACGCCGATTATTACCGTCTTCATGTCTGCCAAATCCTTGGGGTGAGCTGGTAGGTTGAAAATGTAAAACCAGACAATTAGTGCAAGACATTTCAGACAAATATGCAGGGAGAGGAGGTATTGAAATGATATTTTAAAATATGTATACATGAGCATTTAACAGCAGAAAAAGTTTCAGTCATTTTACCAATGCATGGATCAGTGGTGAAGTCTGGAATCTACAAAATTAGGAAAACAATAACATTTCATGCATAAACAATCACTTTAAATTGCTTACCAAAAGGACTATATTTTTTCAATTAAAAACAAGGTAACAATTTTATTTTTCAGCACAGTAGAAAAAACAAAATAAGAAAAACATGAAAACAGTAGATATTTTATTATAAAAATCAATGCTGTACATCTTCCCTATAAAGCAAACTGTCGGTCTGGAATAAAACAACCCTCAACAAACTGTTGTCCTCAACCCAGACACTCACTCTAATTACTTCCTCATTTCAGCAGCTGGCAGTTGTGAAATGATCAGAAAAAAGGACAGAGGACCAGAAACAGAGGACAGTTCAGTTAAAACTAAAAACAGTGCAGTTGGGCTGAATCTTTAATGTTGGTCTGGATCCGTCAGCATAGAAATCTCTATTAAAAGAGCACACGACCTCTGGAAGATTTCACCTCTAGGTCCTAGGTTCACCTGTGAAGTCCCACAGTCCCAGAGACACGCAGAGCGCCTCGGTGTGTCTTCGCACCGTCACACCTCAGCAACAGAGCCCCAGCGACTCCAGAGCTCCATAAAGACGGAGAGGAGCCCAGCCCAGCGAGCCAGTCCCTACCTAGCCAGACGTCTCCTGTAGCTGCCAGTTCAGCCCATGCATACTCCCTGCTCTATGTTTTTCTCTTCTGCCACCGGCAGGACAAGGTGGGAGATACGGCTCCATAGTCCACTCAGCTTGTCCAGGTCCATGCTATTGAAGGTGCCTGGTTTGGTTGAGCTGTTACTTTCTACAAATCTGGCCGTAATATAGTCATGGACCCTCTCCTCCACCTCATTCAGACTGAGCTCTTTCCCTAACTCCACCTCAGGCAGCAGAACAGTGAAGAGCAGGAACACCTCCTTGTAGGCGGCATTCTCGTGGTCACAGTAGCGGTAGAATATGATCGTGGAGCCCGGGGGCAGCTCCTCAAAGCGGTGGACGACGGCTACGGACTGGTCCCCCTCGAAGGCACCCCGCAGCTGGGTGTCGATGTCCAGCTTGACCTGGTCGCTGTCCTGGCCAGTCTTGCTGGATCCGTTGATATTGAGGATGGAGGAGGAGTTGAGGGCAGAGGAGACGGCTCTGGCCAGGCGCAGGGCAAGGCAGTGCAGCGTCCTCTCCCCCCTGCGGCCTGCTGTCAGCATCAGGCTGACTGGCTCTGTGGGCTGGGCCGTCTGGAGGTGCCTCTCCAGGTGGATCCTGCTCCTCCTCCACAGCTCAGAGCGCTGGCCGGGGAACTGGGCCTCCAGGGCAGATAACTGAGCAGCAAACTTCCCCTCTCTCACAGGCCAAGCTGGATGCTCACGACCTCCTGAAGGCCTGTGGGGCAGTGGGAGGTGCTGGAAGGCCAGGAGACCCAGAACACCAGAGACAAGCAGCACCAGAACCTGACACAGCCTCCACATGCACCCTGCAGGGATGAGAGGATGAACATGTCCAAGCCCAGAAACAAATACAAATATAACTATTAAAATGCATCCTACTTTAAAATAATATAATATAATAATAATAATACTTTAAGACAATTCAAGGCAAAGAAATACTTACCCCCAGACGTTTTCCCAGGATTTGCCTTGATAACAGCTGATTTCTTAATATCTTAAAATAGAAAAATATTCATATTGAAATAATACTGAAATAATCTCAAACACTACTTCCTCAATAAAAATGCACCAGTAAACATATAATGGTACCTTGTTTTTGGAGATGCGTGGTTTGTTTTCGAGTAGGAATATTGTTCACCCGACAGCTTGATTTGTAGGACTCTTCAGAGGTGGGGTACCCTCTCATGCTACGGTGGTTAGCTCTGGCCAATCCTACACAGAGAACAGTGTCAAAATACATCCCACTTTAGATTGAATAGGAGGACAAGGTCAAACTACATTAGCTCGTCATCTTACCAGTGCTTTCGGCTTTCCCCTCCATCTTCTCCCTGTACTCTGCCATGCTGCTAGTCTTGTAAGTCAGAACCTCTGGTCGGTTCGCCAGGGGTCTGAATTGGGTTCCAGACTTGGTACCAGAAGCAGCTTTTCTAGACGTTTCCACTGAAAACAAACACATGGCCTTAGGAAAACATGGGTTGTATGAAAGCCCTCAAATGAGAAAAATATCAGTTTGATATTCACTGGTCTTAAACATGGTCAAGATCAGAGGTTAAAATGAGCTCCTACCTCTCTTGGCTTTGAGACGATCTGTTTCCAGCTCCTCTGTTGTGTGAATGGATCTGCGACTCCGTAGGTCCAACCTGGGATCTACCGTCTCTAGGGAGCGAACACCGACCGTATTGGGTGTGTTCACACTCATGTCCCCCATCAACATTTTACCAAAGGGACCTGTTACAGGATGGGTAAGCCACAGGACAAATCATCAAGCCTAGTATGTACCATTAAAGCTGCAATATGTAACTTATTGGGCGACCCGACCAAATTCACATAGAAATGTGAGTTATAGATCTGTCATTCTCATTGAAAGCCAGTCTAAGAAGCCGTAGATCTGTTCTATGTGTGTTATTTCTATGCTTCCCGTTCTTAAGTTGAGTTTTTTTTGTGTCTTTCACTCTCGGTTTTTTACAACAGCTTCAGACAGATGAAAATACAATATTTTTGGTTATTGAAATGATATTTCACAGCAGTTTAGATGGTACAATGATTCTCTACACTCTTGAGCGTTTGTGTTGTCACAAACTGAAATGAGGTAAACTAGTTTTTTGCAACCAGGAAATGGCGGAGCGATTTTTGCATATTGCACCTATAAGTAGGATATGAAAAAAGGATCAAGGTTCAGTTCTGTTTCCTATATGTGGATTTGGTCAGGTTGGGGTGAATGGTAGTGAGGTCCTCCTGAACTCACGTTTTTGCTGTGTGACATGGTGATGGGAGGAGTCTTCCTCCGCACTCATCTCCTCGTTCGGGTCCAGATCTTCATCCTCAGTGGTCTCCTGGACATCCATCTTATCCTCATCACCACTGCCATCCCCTGCCACTCCCATCTCAGACTTATTCTTCTTGCTGGGGGACTCTTGAGTTGGGAAAGGAAAGCAGAAGATAAATAAGTATTAAAATCTCAATCATCTGTTTAACCTCCACAAGTCCTAGTGGAGTAAAGGAGGATAAACTATGCCTTTACGACTAGTAGCTATTTACATTTACCATCGTCCTCCATGGAACCATTGACAGGTGTGGATGGGATATTGTTCTCTTCCCTCCTCCTCTTCAGCGGACCTCTGGGTGTCAACTCTACAGTAACTGCTGGCGAGGGCGAGAAAATGAGTTTAGTGCTAACGTACAAAATCTTGTCTGGTTAACCATTAACTTAGCTAGCTAACTCATAACTCGTTCATTTGAAAAGCTAAATTTTTAACTCGGTATGTAACGTTAGCTAGCTTCAACAAGCTAATTAATGAGTAACGTTAGCTCCGGTTGGGCTAATTAATGAGGACCATGTGGATACTTTTTAATGACTGCTATTGTAGAGATAGCTAAGTTAACTAGCTAGCTAACATGTCAAAACATCGACTTAACTAGCAAATGTTTGTTTTCATGAATCTTTACGATATAGCCAATGTTGACTTTGTGGGTGTGTTACCTAGTTACCGGAAACAGATTATAATCGAAACCACAGCTAGCTAGCTCCGTTGTGTAGATGGGATTAGGTAGCTGCCTGGCTGACAAACCTTTCATCGATTGCCTTGTCGACCTCCTCGCTGGTTGAGCAGGGTTGTTTGGTAAAATCTGAGGATCCATGGTTGCACTATAAATTATACTCTATAGCTCAAATTAAATACTTAGACAAGCTAGCTACATCAACTTCTCAAACGCATTTCCTAGGAGGGGCCGTTTTGACAAAACAGGAAATAAGCGGGACGTTCTATAGGTTTCGTTGGAAACAAATAGCTAGCGAATCTATGTTCCGGCTATGAACGGTCATTCTGGGACTCCACGTCTGTCACATTTGTTGTTGCTCCTCTGCACCAAGGGGCAAATTCAAAGCGGATATTTATCTGAGGAAGAGGATACCGTGGGTTAGTATGTTCATAACACTATAGAAATGCTGGTAAAGGACCGCTACAGTGTTTATACTAACAACGTTTGCTTGTTTCCCCAATGATACTCTTACATAACACTTACAATTCTAATAGTTCGCCTAATTTCAGTTTATGTGACAAAAGAAGCACTCAGAGTGTAGCGAATCATTGTACTGTGTCAGGGGCCCCCCTTCCAGCAATGGGGAACATCCCTTGTGCACCACGTCTATTTCTATGGGCACAAGCACTGTTACACCCTTGTTGGTTGAGATAATTTTGCAGGTTTAAAGTTTATTTCCTGGAATTCGACACATTTTGTCATGGGGTGCAAAAAAAAAATTTGTTGCAGTTTTGAAGCTAATTTTGTGTATTCATGTGCTATTTGAGTGACAAATAAATTACAACAAAATCTATGGGCTAAAAAACCTAAATAAAAAAAATGTTTGCTGGCATGGGCTAGTTGATCTGGACATTTCTGACAAGTTATAAATAACTCAAAGTTATGCAATGACTAACATCACAAGAGGAAGTGATGATGCACTACCCAATTTTGAAATTGCACCTAGTGCATTCTACTATTACAACTTTCAAGAAGACATTTAATGCCAGACTGAATTCCTGCTTTTCCAACAGTCTTGAAGGAGTTCCCAAATATGCTGAGCACTTGTTGACTGCTTTTCCTTCACTCTGCTCTCCGACTCATCCCAAACCATCTCAATTGGGTTGAGGTCGGAGGATTGTGGAGGCCAGGTCATCTGATGCAGCACTCTATCACTCTCCTTCTTGGTAAAATAGCCCTTACACAGCCTGGAGGTGTGTTTTGGGTCATTGTCCTGTTGAAAAACAAATGATAGTCCCACTAAGCCCAAACCAGATGGGACGGCATATCGCTGCAGAATGCTGTGGTAGCCATGCTGGTTAAGTGTGCCTTGAATTCAAAATAAATCACAGACAGTGTCATAAGCAAAGCACCCCCACACCATAACACCTCCTCCTCCATGCTTTACGGTGGGAACTACACATGCGGAGATCATCTGTTCACCCACTCCGCGTCACACAAAGACACGGCGGTTGGAACCAAAAATCTCCAGTTTGGACTCAAGACCAAAGGACAAATTTCCACCGGTCTAATGTCCATTGCTCGTGTTTCTTGGCCCAAGCAGGTCTCTTCTTATTGGTGTCCTTTGGTAGTGGTTTCTTTGCAGCAATTCGACCATGAAGGCCTGATTCACAGTCCCCTCTGAACAGTTGATGTTGAGATGTGTCTGTGACTTGAACTCTGTGAAGCATTTATTGGGCTGAGGCTGGTAACTCTAATGAACTTATCCTCTGCAGCAGAGGTAACTCTGGGTCTTCCATTCCAGTGGTGGTCCTCATGAGAGCCAGTTTCATCATAGCGCTTGATGGTTTTTGTGACTGCACTTGAAGAAACTTAAAAAGTTATTGAAAATGTTCCATATTGACTGACCTTCATGTCTTAAAGTAATGATGGACTGTCGTTTCTCTTTGCTTATTTGAGCTGTTCTTGCCATAATATGGACTTGGTGTTTTACCAAATAGGGCTATCTTCTGTATACCCCCATACCTTGTCAAAACACAACTGATTGGCTCAAATGCATTAAGAAGGAAAGAAATTCCACAAATTAACTTTTAAGAAGGCACACCTGTTAATTGAAATGCATTCCAGGTGACTACATCATGAAGCTGGTTGAGGGAATGCCAAGAGTGTGCAAAGCAGTCAATAAGGCGGCTATTTGAAGAATCTCAAATATATTTTTATTTGTTTAACACTTTTTTGGTTACTACATGAATCCATATGTGTTATTTACATTTGACATTTTAGTCATTTAGCAGACGCTCTTATCCAGAGCGACTTACAGTTAGTGAGTGCATACATTTTCCATACTGGCCCCCCGTGGGAATTGAACCCACAACCCTGGTGTTGCAAGCGCCATGCTCTACCAACTGAGCTACAGGAGGCCCGTAGTTTTGATGTCTTCACTATTATTCTACAATGTAAAAAATTGTCTAAATTAAGAAAAACCCTTGAGTGAGTAGGTGTGTCCAGACTTTTGACTGGTAGTGTATATAATAGGCTATCATTGAATTTGGCCCAAAAGGCCTGGTATATTACCACTTTCAAGGATTATTTTGCCTGAAAACCTTTAGGCCTACCTATAGTTCTACAACAGAGATACAGTGCATTCGGAAAGTATTCAGACCTCTTCCATTTTTCCACATTTTGTTACGTTACAGCCTTATTCTAAAATGGGTTAAATAAAACATTTCTCATTAATCTACACACAATACCCCATAATGACAAAGCAAAAACAGGTTATACATTTTTGCAAATTTATTACAAATAAAAAATATACCTTATTTACATAAGTATTCAGACCCTTTGGTATGAGATTTGAAATTGAGCTCAGGTAGATCCTGTTTCCATTGATCATCCTTGAGATGTTTCTACAACTTGATTGGAGTTCACCTGTGGTAAATTCAATTGATTGGACATGATTTGGAAAGGCACACACCTGTCTATATAAGGTCCCACAGTTGGCAGTGCACGTCAGAGCAAAAACCAAGCCATGAGGTCGAAGGAATTGTCCCTAGAGCTCAGAAACAGGATTGTGTCGAGGCACAGATCTGGGGAAGGGTACCAAAACATTTCTGCAGCATTGAAGGTCCCCATGAACACAGTGGCCTCAATCATTCTTAAATGGAAGAAGTTTGGAACCACCAAGACTCTTCCTAGAGCTGGCCGCCAGGCCAAACTGAGCAATCAGGGGAGAAGGACCTTGGTCAGGGAGGTGACCAAGAACCCGATGGTCAAACTGACAGAGCTCCAGAGTTCCTCTGTGGAGATGGGAGAACTTTCCAGAAGGACAACCATCTCTGCAGCACTCCACCAATCAGGCCTTTATGGTAGAGTGGCCAGACGGAAGCCACTCCTCAGTAAAAAGAACATGACAGCCCACTTGGAGTTTGCCAAAAGGCTCCTAAAGAATCTCAGACCATGAGAAACAAGATTCTCTTGTCTGATGAAACCAAGATTGAACTCTTTGGCCTGAATGCCAAGCGTCACGTCTGGAGGAAACCTGGCACCATCCCTACGGTGAAGCATGGTGGTGGCAGCATCATGCTGTGAGGATGTTTTTCAGCGGCATAGACTGGGAGACTCATCAGGATCGAGGGAAAGATGAACGAAGCAAAGTACAGAGAGATCCTTGATGAAAACCTGCTCCTCATTGCTCAGGACCTCTGGGGTGAAGGTTCACCTTCCAACAAGACAACAACCCTAAGCACACAGCCAAGACAACGCAGGAGTGGCTTCGGGACCCAGCCAGAGCCCGTACTTGAACCCGATCTATCATCTCTGGAGAGACCTGGAAATAGCTGTGCAGCGACGCTCCCCATCAAACCTGACAGAGTTTGAGAGGATCTGCAGAGAAGAATGGGAGAAACTCCCCAAATACAGGTGTGCCAAGCTTATAGCGTCATACCCAAGAAGATCCGAGACTGTAATCGCTGCCAAAGGTGCTTCAACAAAGTACTAAGTAAAGGGTCTGAATACTTACGTAAATGTGATCAGTTTTTTATTTATTATAAACTTGCTAAAAAAATCTAAAAACCTGTTTATGGGGTATTGTGTGTAGATTGATGAGGGAAAATACAAATGTAATCCATTTTAGAATAAGGCTGTAACGTAACCAAATGTGGAAAAAGTCAAGGGGTCTGAATACTTTCTGAATGCACTGTATATATATATTTGCTACTGCTCGACTAAAAAAGTATTGGTCGACAAACAGCCTATCAACCAAACAATCGACCAGTTGACTAATTGGGTCAGCCCTAGAATCCATAAAGGCAGACACATGTTGAACATTGATAGAAAATATCCATATTTATGTTATGGTGGTTCTACATCAGGGCTCTCCAACCCTGTTTCTGGAGAGCCACCGTCCTGTAGATTTTCACTCCAACCCTGTTCCTGGAGAGCCACCGTCCTGTAGGTTTTCACTCCAACCCTAATCTAGCGCACCTGATTCTAATAATTAGCTGGTTGATAAACTGATAAGCTGAACACGGTTAGTTACAACTGGGGTTGGAGCGAAAACCTACAGGAGGGTATCTCTCCAGGAACAGGGTTGAAGACTCCTGTTCTACATGGTCTTATGCTGAGCATCACTAGCTGCGTTTACACAGGCAGCCCAATTCTGATCTGTTTTCCACTAATTGGTCTTAATCACATCAGATCTTTTCACATCAGATCTTTTTCAGAACTGTCAAAAGACCAATTAGTGA